CTTAATTCAGAAGACTTGAGGGGAAGTCTGCTATTTAGCACTTGTGTGAGCCTGAGAAAGTTCCAAGTACCACATTTCCTTTACTGCTATGAAGGGACAATAATGATAATGCCATCCTCACTGGGTTACTGGGAGGATTAAACAACCTATATCTAAAAACAACCTGTATTTAAAAGCTCTTTATAAACTGCAAAGTGCTAGAAAAAAGAGAAACTATTATAGACAGCTATACAGAATCATTCACTTTACAGACGGAGAGAGAGATCCAAGGACAGTGCTAAAAATACAGGCAGCCCCCGACTCCCAGCAAAGATCTTTTTTCCTATACAAGGTTATACTCTGAATTCTTAAAATACACTTCTATTCTTATTTGAAGGAGTTCCTGTTAGAAAGTAGGTCTTTTTTTCTATGAACAAAGGCCTCAGCCCAGAATAATTTCTCTAAATATATAAAGTAAAAATTAATTCAGATACCATCCTTAACAGAATAAAATTATTACAAAGCTCTCTAAATAAATGATTTTAGATTAATACAACAATGATTTTCCAGAATACCATAACTATCTGAATTTAACGCTGTAAAACCACTAGGTTAATATTACAGAACACAGCTCTTTTATGAAACATTTTCTAATGCTGAGGTTATAAAGCATTGAGTTTTTCCCCAGAGTTTTAAACATTTTCATAGATGTACCGACAAAGACTCTCTCCTTGACCAAACTGTAGTCACGCTCCTCTGAGCCCTCTTCTCAACTAGGCCCACACCTTGGCCCCTGCCTTGCTGAGCCTGGATAGCCCAGGTTTAGCAAGAATGCTGCTAAGTCAGTGTAGAAACAATCTCCTACCTTTGATAACTGATCACCCTTGATATCTGATCACCCTGGCCTGCCTTCACCAAGAATTCTGTTAAGTCAGTTTAGCAAGAATCCTCCTTACCATGGTGTCTCATCAGAGCAATTTTTCATCCACTGACCCCTCATTCCACTCCTCAGCTATAAATCCCCAGCTGTCTTTTCTATGTTCAGAGTTGAGCCTGATCTCTGCCCCCTATTGCAAAAGTCCTGAATAAAGTCTTCCTTACTGTTTTTAACAAGTGTCAGAATAATTTTTTCCTTACTAGTATACATACAGAAGGTACACAAATCATAAGTGCACAGTTCCACGAGTTACCATGAAGTAAAGCACTGCACTTTTAACCACTCACTATGAATGCACAGAAAGTGGGTAAAAAGATGTGCTTGGCCTTTCATATATTCAGACACAGCTACAAAAAGTAGATCATTTAGTATGGAGTCTACAATAAGACAACAGCACGTCCTACCTACTCGGGGGTAGAAATTACTCCATAATAAAATCTGCTTATCCTCTAGAGACCTGAATTAGAATTTCAATATGGCAAATTTTAGGATTACAAACTACTTCCCAATTTCTCAACATTAGTTTGAAAAGCACTATGTTATCTTTAAAAAAAAATTAAAGAATATTTGACTATATAGTCACAAATTGTAGATACTTTAAAAAATTTTAATTTTCTTTTATATAACACATAAAAAGGCACTAAAATATTTTAGTGTTATTAAAATTATGAGCATGTTTTTAATACAGAATGGAAAGCAACCAAAATCTCAGGTAAAATATAAGCCCTGAGCCCATTAAAGTATTTATTTTAATATATAAGCACATGGCATACACACCAGTGCTCACAAAATGTTTCTCAAGTCTTATGAACACAATGTGGCTGGTTTACCAATTAGGCCAATTGATTTCAGAACAGACCTTTTCCGTTATTCATCATGTAAAGAGGACATGAGCAAAGTGTTAAGCAGTTTGCCTAGTTCACCTGTGGCCATCAGCTCCTGGCAATGCACATTCGCTGCCTTGTAGTCATGGAAACGAAGCGCTTGCTCTACTAGAAGGATTAGAACCTGTCCACGCCTTTCTTCTGGGTCTTCACCTGTAAATACACACAAACAGCTTAATGATTTTGGCAGCATCAATTAATAAAAGAGCTCATTAACACTCTTTCAAATTAATTCAAAAATAAAAAAATAGAGATTAGACTGATTTTAAAAGATTATAGGACAAAAGGTCACTGCAACTTTGACCTTCCAATTTACTTATTAATCATGGAATTAGCTCTCAGTCTCCTAAGTGATCAAGGATTAATATCAGCCCTGGACCAACCATTCCAGCCTAAGAGGGTAAAGGAAAAGTTTTCCTCCCCACAGGGACTTTAAACTTTTTTGCTATTTCTTTTTTTATATTTTGCATTTGAATGTTCTAATTATAATTAATAAATGACAAATATAAGGGGGGAAAAACTTAAACACAAAGTAAAATGTATGTAAATTTTATAGTTTCACTATGATAAAGTTAATTCGTATATCAGGACCCACAAATTGGAGGCCACCCCAGTGGCCCAGCCCAAGTCACAAACCTAAACCTAAGTCAACTGCACTTATGGGAAACACCTGTCAAAGGAAACCTACCCTACACCAATCACAATCCTCCAACTCAGCTTCAGCCAGCTTACCTGACCCTGGAAAACAGGACCTGCTGCCCTTACACGGAAACCCCCGATTTCCCAGCCAATCACGCTCTGCTTCCACACTGCCTCTTCTAACACTCGGGAAACTCGCTCTTGCTCCACATCCCTTGGGAACAATGCTCCACTGCTTGTGAGGCACTGTGCTCCCCCACCCATGGATTGATCTCCCTTGAATAAAGGACATCAAACTCATTACTAAATTGTTTTCCTTTTGTCATTTGACAACTGACAGTACTAATCTTTTATTTATCACAGTGAGCGTCTAAACTCTAAGAACAGATACCAAAATTCAGCTTACGTTAACACAAAAATCTTAAATTATTTTCCCAAGAATATTCTTAGACGTCAGCTTAGATATCTCTTCCTTCTTTGGCATCTCCACACTTTTTTCACATAAATGGTTTAGGTGCCCCTCCTACATGTTCCTCTGCTTTCATTCTCTCAATACGAATTTACCAGGATTTTTAATCATCTATACCCTCTATCACAATTTAAGCTCCTGGAGGACAGGGGTTGCTTCCTTGTTGAATTCTCAGTACCCAGCACCAAGTCTTGCACCATAATAGGGGCTCACAAAAATATATCCTCAATGAAATGGGCACAGGTTCAATTCAGAATGTAATTTTCAATTATAAGACAAATAATTCAAAGCTACAGTACAAGTACAACTTGTATATTTAGGCTAAAAAGTAAAAAGTAAAAAATCTTTTATATTTTAATGAAGTAATGAAAGCTTAAAACTACTTTCAATATTTCCAGGGAAAAAAAGGAAATACATACATGGCCTTTGCATTTTTAAGCTACAATATGGTTTGAAGAAAAAGTAAACATATCATAGAAAGAGCTGAATGAAACTTTGACAATATGTCCTCATCAGTCTTCTTTCTGTGCTTCAGAGGTTTGAATAAAATCCAAGACAACGACTGGCCCAAGCTAATCTAAAAAGATTCTTAAATAAGGAGATGTTATAGCACTAAGATTCATATTATTATTATTAGAACAACACATTCATGTTTTAGTAGCACTAACACTGTTAACACTAGAAATCGAACAATATGTAAAAGTTCCTCAATATTAAATGCACATATCAAAATTAATAGAAAACCTATTTCCTAGATAATACTCTTGACATGTGTGCATTTATCCAGAACATCTAAATCAAAATTGAAGGGGCCAAGTGTGTTTTTTCTTCTATATGACAACTTAGCTAGGTTGTGAAGGTATTTTGCTGATGTAATTAAAGCCCCTAATCAGCTGACTCTAAGTAAGAGTCCATTGATTACCATCATCCAACATCAAAAAAGGTGGAAACAGGGGCCAGCCCAGTGGCATAGCAGTTAAGTGCGCATGCTCCGCTTCGGTGGCCCGGGGTTCACAGATTCAGATCCCAGGTGCACACCGACGCACTGCTCGTCAAGCCATGCTGTGGCGGTGTCCCATATAAAGTAGAGAAAGATGGGCACGGAAGTTAGCCTGGGGACAATCTTCCTCAACAAAAAGAGAAGGATTGGCAATGGATGTTAGCTCAGAGCCAGTCTTCCTCACAAAAAAAAAGGTGGAAACAGGATAACAGTAAAGGATTCAAAGTCAGAAAGTTAATTGTGAAATCTTCAATAAATTATTAAATTTCTTTATTCCTATTGCCTCACATTCAAAATGAGATTCATGGCTCTGCTGTAAGGGACACAGTAAGAAGCAACTCAGATAAGTATGAAAGTATAAAATGAGAATTACTGTTGTTGTTAATGTAATCTTTTATATGAAGATAAGTCAAATAGTCATCTTAAAGTTCAAAGCTCAAATATTTAACTGCTTTTAATTTCTATAAAGTTTCAATCCAAGCAGGTGGTTAAAAGGCAAAATATAAGCAAAAAAAAGAACAAACCTCATCCTGAAAAGAATGATGTCTAGAAAAATATTACAAACAAAACAAAACAAAATTCTTAGGAAGTACAGACAGGAGTATGGCCAGACTAGAAATCTATTAAAGAAAATGATTCACACGTTTAGTCTGATGAAGAAGAGAAGGCCAATGGTGTCATGACAAGGCTTTGAGTACATGAAATATAATTTAAACTATGTCCACAAATTCTTTGATACTCTCTTCTAAAAATGGAGCTAATGCCTCTCCCCCTGAGTGAGGGATGATTAGCGATTTACTTCTAACAGATTAAGGTGGAAATGATGGTATGTGACTTCCAAGACTAGGTCATAAAAGGCATTACAGAATCCTCCTTGCTCTCTCATGGATCAACGGCTCTAGGAGAAACTCTAGGAGCTGCCATGTTGAAAGGACACCCAAGAAGCCCTATGGAGAGATCCACGTGGCAAGGAACTGAGGGCTCTTACCACCAGCCAGGGAGGAACTGAGGCCTTTTCCAACAGCCATCTGAGTAAGCCAGCTCAGAAGCAAATCACCCAGGCCCAGTTAAGCCTTCAGGTGTAATCTATAAATATTTCCCTTGAACTTGGGAGGGCCTATGTGACTGCCTCAGTGAATAAAAACAATAGGAAACGAAGCTGCCCAAATTCCAAGGCTAGGTTATAGAAAAATGCCATGAAGCTTCTGCTGGTTTCTCTTGGGACATTGACTCTGGGAGCCTTCAGCCACCATGTAAGAAGTCTGAGGGCACCATATGAAAAGACCACAAGGAGAAACCACACAGAGAAGAGACAGAGCCCTAGCTATTCTATCTCCCAGCTACGTAAGCCTTCTCAGCCCAGATGCCAGACATGTAAATAGAGCAGCCTTTAAGATGAGCCCGCCCCTAGCCACTATGTGACTGCAATTTCATAAAAGACCCTGATCTACTTGGCTAAGTCCAGTCAACCTCCAGAATTGGGAGAGATAAAAATAGATGACTGACTGTTGTTGCTTTAAGCCACTAAGTTTTTAGGTGTTTTCTAAAGCAGCAAGAGATAACCAGAACACCCTATAAGCTTCAGATACATGTCACCTCCCTTGTGATCCCTTTCTTAATACCACCCCCACTCCTCCAGCAAAATATTAGCATTGCCTTTCTTCAAGTTATATAACATTTGTTTACAGAAGCCAGGTACTACCATCATATCCCCTGTTGCAGCATAATTATTTGTTTCCTCAGTCCTCTAAGATTCTAAACTCCCAGAGGGCAGCAGCTGTGTGTAACATAACTTTGTAACCAAAACACCTAACACAGTGATATTACTTCACCTCTATCTGCTTCTATTTCCTCATCTGTAAAATGTGGCTAACAAGAGGTTGTTGTGCATAGTGAAAGAGCTAACATATAAAAAGAGTATAGAAGGGTGCTGGCACATGGTAGTCATTGACACATTAGCTATTTTTATTATGTGCACTCCGGTGGCTCACAATAAAAATATGTTGACAAAATGTAGATACTAGTCATATCTTTTGATGATACTGTGCTGAAGTGGTAATACAGATTCCACACTAAAGTTTGTGAAATAGAGGCGGCCAAGTTTAGATGGTTCCAAACATTAGAACTAAAATAGCTGCAATAAAGAAAAGAGGTCTAAATACCATGTGTTCTACATAAATGTGCTCCGTAGGACTGAAGAAGAATGTTCATCCCATTAAAAATTAATATAGCTTGCCAGGATCACTGATATTCTTGTTTCTATGTCAACATGTCACAAGGCCAAAAATGGAAATTAATCCTAGTAGGTATATGGAAAGTGTAGATGGCATCCCTGACTGCTTCATTAGTACCTATGGACTGGATCCTAATGAAATTCTTCCCTGATGATCAGAGTGCTTCAAAGTTTACAAAGCGCTGTTATACGCATTAACTCATTTGGGTCTTATAATTCGGCAAGTAAAGCAAGAGGGTATCGTTCCTATTTTCCAGACTCAGAAACTGGAGCTCAAGTCATTTAGCAAATGCATGGAACTGAATCCATACAAATATAGAAGACTGAACCAGTCTTCTGACCCCACACCCAATTTGTCCCCAGTCATCCAAGATGCCTCACGATGGATGACTGGCCCCAAGCACAGTGTCAGCACCTATCCAAGGCTGCTGCAAGTTCAAAGGAAATGATACTAATGCTATACTTTCAGACCAGAAAAGGACAACTGACACACTAAAGTTCACTAAAACTATAGACCTTAAGAATAAAAGTCTGATAATTAAGACTTTAAAACGTTAATAAATGTGTGTCCACTAAATATACTAAACATATATATATTTTTTAAAGCTCAAAATATAAATACAAATCCCCTTTACTTTTGAGCCTATGATATGTGGCTTAGACACGTACAACTTCAAACCACTGCTTATGAAACAAAATGGCCAACAACTGTTCTTGTGGAGATCAGCCTACATCAAAAATACTAAAGAAAAGTATTAAAAGACTCTGGTAAATAGAACAGCATGGTTAAAGAAACATGAAATGTAGAGTCCGAAAGACTTTCCTTGAAAGCTATAGTCTATTTAACCCTGCTGTGCAAGATACTTAACTTCTCCGATCCTCAATTTCCCTCATAAAATGGCAAGAATATATCATTGTCTCTATTTAACAGAAGATGAAATGAGAGAATGTTTGTAAAAACTCCACCAAATAGTAAATGCACAAATTTTTCTAAAAAATTGTTCAAGTTCAAAAATATTACACCAAATTTGGACATTCAAGGTGAACAGGTAGGGCTGTGGCTTGCATTTAAGCTTTCTGGTTATAATCGGTAACCCTGACTTCTATTCTGACTTCACACCACTTCATGGCACCCTGAATAAGGCTATCCTCAGTTAACGGACAGATGCTCCCAGCAGCTCAAAATAGGTACATATTTTTTAACATGACAATCTTTCTAGAAAAGACAAATCCTTGCCCAAAAGCAGCTCTCCTGACACCTGCAAGCATATGTTCTGATGTTTGTCTAGAATAATCAAGAATAACAGAAACCCTATTCTGCAGGTTACCATTCAAAACTTACCTGCTACTCTCAACAACTCAGCAAGGCCCAGAAGCTTGGAGGATTGTTTGTAGCATGTGGGCGACTGGCAAATACACTCCTTGATGAGGCCGATCCGATCAGAGCACAGTCTCACTGCAAAAGAAAGACATACTCAAGTCAGTCTCACTACAAAAGAAAGACATACTCAAGACATGTAATCAGGGACATCACAAAAGGGTATCATGACCTTCCTAATTTAAGGCAACCAAACAAAATGAAAACTGTGTTAGTCTCCAGATCAATAAGAATTAAGTAAAAGACACAATTTTTTAAAAAATTAAAATTATTGTTGCATCTGAATAATGTACAACATGGATCTTTTCTTTGTTACCAAATTTCTGAAACAGCAAATGAATTTCCATTCTGAAGCTAGGAAAAAGTGTCACCTTTCAAGTGCCGTGTCAGGCCTTAGGGAAAATTTTAAAGACGACAGTATTCATCTTCGAAAACTTCACATACTTCCTGTTACACCAGTCCCTCATTCCTCACCTCACCTCCCCAAAATCCCTTCCATGTTCCAAACATCCATTTTCTATCTCCACCACATCACCCCAGTTTGGAGGGTAGGAGTCCTTGAAGTGCTCACTGTTCCAATTTATTAAGCTTTCTCCAAAAACAGCCCTAATCCTCTCACTAAGCTAGATGTTAGGAAAACAAAACATATCTGATCACACCAATTCATACTAATAGGTAATTAAGAACAGTTACAGGGGAAAAAACCTTTTATTTAAAGAGTATATGAATATGCTAGGAAGAAACGGTATCTATTTAGGGTGGAGGTGTCAACCTTTAAGAATCATGGTACTATTTGGGAGGCTGGGTCCCAATAAATACAACAATAATAACTATAATGATAGCAGCTGACATTAAATGAATATGACCTACATCCCAGGCACTGTTGTAGGTGCTTTATGTATATGAACCCTACAAGGCAGGTACTATTATCCTCAGGGGAAGAAACTGAGGGTGCAGACAGGTGAAACACTTTGGCTAACATCACTGAAAAGTGATGGGACCAGAATTCAACCCAGCTCCTTAAATGTTTTTCACACTTTCATTTCTTTATCCATTTCTAAATCTATGACTGTATCCCATATATCCTATGTTCTCCTAAAACTACTTCTGGTAGGTGGGAGGGGGTCCAGGAGTTGAGGAGATAAAGAGAGGTGGTGGTTTTTCCTTGGAATGGGCTCTTTTTTTGTAAGTTTTTATTATTACTTAATTTCAAACTTACAGAAAGGTTGCAAGAATGGTACAAAGAACTCCTTTATATTTTTTGCCAAGATTAACCAATTGTTAATAAGTTGCTCCATTCACACATTCACATGTGCAATAATGCACGTGTACCTTCTGTCCCCCCTACATACATACATATATGCAAATATATATATGCACACAGATCTATTTTTTCTGAACCATCTGAGAATAAATTGCAAATATCATGTCCTTTTATTCCTAATACTTTAGTGTATATTGAGCTATTTTAGGATGGCTATTTATGTAACTGCTAGTAGTTACTGCTGTTGTGGCCCTTACTATAAAATACAGCCTTTATTATAAAGTATGAAGTACATGTAGACTTCAGTTACTTACTTCACAATCCTGACAGCCAATATCTACATCTCAGTATAGCTTCTGTAGACTGTATTGTTCCCAGTATCTACTGCAATTATTCACATCACAAATACCAGACTCAGTGATATTAGGCTTGGCCATGTGACTTCTACAGGCAATGAAATCGGCATGAGTGGAAGTGACATATGCCACTTCTGAGCAAATGTTTAAGAGTCATCATGGGACTCCACCATTGATCTTTTCCCTCTGCAGTGAGAATGACATGTTCCATGGAGTGGTGGAGCAGACATGACTGTGAGCAAGAAATAAACTTGTTACTCTAAGCCACTGAGATTTTAGGGATTTTTACTACAGCACAGTGTAGCAAAAACTGATACAGTGTACTTTGAACTTTTCTATAACTTTTTTCAATCAAAAAAATTCGTTTTTTTCCTCGACATCTGCTACTGCTTTACGGGTTTTACTCCTACTATGTGTTTTAAGAAAATGTGTATCATTACTTCAATATGTCACATTCGATAACTATGAGAAAGGTACTTTCTACATGTTTCTAATTTTATTTTAAAGACAACACTTGGCATAGATAATATTGTCATTCTACATATGAAAAAACCTGGGGTTTTCATAGATCTTCTATGGCCTTGTTTAATGAATTCTTATATTCTTCTTAGAGAAGCTCTAGTTTTAGAAACTCTAGTAAGTTTATTTCCTTACTGTTACCACTCTCTTTCTACTAAAAAAAATCAAGGTGGAAAACTGAAACCACATATGGCCATGAATCATCATTTTCTCTAAAATTCCACTTAATGGAACACTCAAGTTTGGTTCTTTGTCTGCTTCTTGCCCTAAGCAAGGCATACTACTAATATTTCAAGTATGTTAAATAAATTTGGAGAGTAGAAATCTAATAGAGTGCAAATGCCATGTTCAAATGACTTGTTACTTTATTTATGTTTTTTTTGAGCCTCTGGACAATCACTATATCAGTTCTCTTACTGCTTATCATAGGACATGCTAAATTATATTTCAAAATGTGATTTCTCAGTTAAATAAATTCAAGCCTTAGATGTTATTATCCGTCTATGAAGGCAAGGGGTCTTTGACTCCTAAAATTCCTTTTCAAAATGGAATTAATGAATATGAAAACAATATGCATCTTTTACAGTACATATCTTTTAATAGTTGAGGATTCCTCATTTTCCTGTGGATCTCACAAATATATCTCAAGTATGAAAAAAAAACAAAAACTACAAAACACACACACACACACACACACACACACACACAGGTCTCAGACATAAGAAGCATTTATTGACCATAAAAGCATAAAAAGAAACCATTATCATTTACAGCTACTTCTAAATCTATGCAACTGAAACAAAATACAGAAATAAATCGTATACCAAAACTGATGTAAATTTGAAACTCCCATCTATAATCCCTAATTTCTATTTTTATTTTTATCTAATAGCCTCACTGCTGTTACTAATGTTAATTCTTTTAATGTCATAACTTTGAACTTAAAACTATAAATTTATGATAAAATGTTGGCTTTATTTTTTCTTTAGGGTTTCCACTTAAGATTGCAATTGAAAAATGGGGCAGAGGGCAGGATCTATTGCTAATGAATTAAATGACCAAAGGTACTCTTTAGTTTAGAAAACTAAAAAGGAACATTGGTAAATTAATGCAAAATAAGTTAATAAGAGTATAACACTACATTGAAAACTCACCTTGCAAAGGCAGGATCTTTACCCCAAACTCCTCAAGACATCCAAGGGCTTGGATAAGATCTAGCTCCTCTTGAATGGCACTGGGTCTATCTGTTATCAGCTGTAAACAGCACCTAGGAGAAATAAGATAAATTTTTAAAAAGAAGAAGTAACATATGTTCAGCTAAGTTGCCTTTCTATATTCAACAACAAGAGATCCGACACATATTTATCGAATACCTAACTACCTTCCAGGTATTCTGCTAGATGCTTTCTGTTATCTTACTTAATCCTCATAGCAAGACCATGAGATAGGAAAATATCATCATCTGCTTTTTAAGGAAGCCAAAATTGCAGCTCAGGAAGCTGAAGTCATACGCACAGGGTTAACGGACAGTATGTAATGGTATCGCAGTATGAAGCAAGATATGTTAACTCTGTGTTTAGTGCCCTTTTTACTGTTGACTCCAAAGGTAATGATTATATTAGAAAGAATAAAAAAACATAATTGAAATAATTTCCAGTTATTCTTCTAAGAAAAATAGCAACGTCTTCATTCAATCACAATTTTGTCTCCCAAAGGAAAAAATAATAATTTAAACCGCACAATAGACATTTTTCTGATCAAAAAGAGAAAAATCAATTGGTAATGCACTCCTGAGATAAATACAGGAAAAAGCAATTTGCTAAACTAAGAATTTGTCATATCTATGGAGTATTTCAAGCAAATTTTTAAAAATCCAGAGAAAGGTCCTTAATAAATATTTTAATTAATGAATAAACTTATTTTCTGAAAGGTACATGTAGAAGAACATTGGGACACAAGACTAGAAAGACAGTTAGAGATCAGGCCATGAGCGCTAATGAACGCTAAAATCATGGATCATCAGATGAAGACATCTAGGCCCCAGGATGCACCTATATGACTGGGTGATAGATACAGGCCTAGCTTGCTCTTGCAAAACTGTAGAATTTAAATCAGATGAGCACTAACAAATACTGCTGATTCAAGTGTAAAAAGCACATAACCTCTTTGTGTATCTACCAAAATTCTAACTGCACTTTCCTTTGAACCCAGGAATTCCAGTTCTAGGAATTTATACTACAGATAGGCTCACACATGCCCAGCCATAATTATTGATGTTTACTACCACAGTGTTTTTAAAATAAAATACACTAAATCAGGAACTAATTAAATAAATTCTATAAATGTCAAACAATGGAATATTCTGCAACCATCAAAAAGGAATGAAACGAACCTATATGTACTCATATGGAAAAACCTTCAATACAGATTGTAAATGTAAAAAACAAGATACAGAAAAGTATGTACAAGTAGTAAGCACTTATTTGCGATGTAAGAAAGGAGAGGGTAACATTTAATAAGATATTTTGGAAGATACATAGGAAACTGACAAAAAATAGCTAAGGGATAAAGTTGAAAAAATTAG